ATGCAAACTTTTTGTTTGTTTTTTTTGCAAAAGGGTTTTAAGTTAATATTCTTAAACAAAAATGTAAAAAGTGCAATATTATGTATTTAAGTGGTAACACAAAATAAACTTCTTTACACAGGCATTGTTTTTGAAAAGCGTTGTCTTTGCTTTTTAACAGTTTATTACTCTGGAATCAGATTAATTTGGAGATAGAGTTAAATTAATTGGTAAAGCACCTTGGTTTACGAAGTGTTCAATGCATCTTTGACTGTACTTAAAACAAGAAGAAAAAATGTAATTTACGTTTTTGCCGTACCAATAACCGCATCAGGTCTCCAAGGTAAAAAGCCTCTGGTTAATAGAATAAAGTAGGTAAGGGAAGTCGGCAAAATAGATTCGTAACTTTGGAAAAAGGATTGGCTCTGAGGGTTGGGTGCGTAGGGCTTATTTTAAAAAATTATTACAAGTGGTTGAAGCTACTTAATTTAATGCTAAACGTAATTTCTTGTTAAATTGCGTTTAGTGTAATTTTAGACGGATTCATTATGCATTAGTAATATTTAAAATTTAGGTCAGATTATGATTGTTGCTTTTTACATTTATGTCTGTTTGACCTTGCATAGTGAACAACTGTCTCAGAACTGAAAAGGACAAGGGGAATCCGACTGTTTAATTAAAACAAAGCATTGTGATGTCTGTAATTGGTGTTGACACAATGTGATTTCTGCCCAGTGCTCTGAATGTCAATGTGATGAAATTCAATGAAGCGCGGGTAAACGGCGGGAGTAACTATGACTCTCTTAAGGTAGCCAAATGCCTCGTCATCTAATTAGTGACGCGCATGAATGGATTAACGAGATTCCTACTGTCCCTATCTACTATCTAGCGAAACCACAGCCAAGGGAACGGGCTTGGAACAATCAGCGGGGAAAGAAGACCCTGTTGAGCTTGACTCTAGTCCGACTTTGTGAAATGACTTAGAAGGTGTAGCATAAGTGGGAGCTAAGTAAAATGTATTTTATTTAGTAGCTATGAAATACCACTACTTTTAATGTGATTTTACTTATTTCGTAAAGTTGAAGCTCGTACAGTCTTAAATAATTGTGTGTGTTTTAGAGTGAATGCAACAGATATTATATTGTTATATTTTTTATTTGCTAATTTATGCGGAAGACATAGTCAGGTGGGGAGTTTGGCTGGGGCGGCACATCTGTTAAAAAATAACGCAGGTGTCCTAAGGCAAGCTCAATGAGAACAGAAATCTTATGTTGACTAAAAGGGGAAAAGCTTGCTTGATTTTGATTTTCAGTACAAATACAAACTGTGAAAGCATGGCCTATCGATCCTTTAGGCCTGAAAAATTTTCAGCTAGAGGTGTCAGAAAAGTTACCACAGGGATAACTGGCTTGTGGCAGCCAAGCGTTCATAGCGACGTTGCTTTTTGATCCTTCGATGTCGGCTCTTCCTATCATTGGGACGCAGAAGTCTCAAAGTGTCGGATTGTTCACCCGCCAATAGGGAACGTGAGCTGGGTTTAGACCGTCGTGAGACAGGTTAGTTTTACCCTACTGATAAAATAATACTGCGACAGTAATTCAACTTAGTACGAGAGGAACAGTTGGTTCAGATAATTGGTAAATGCAATTAACTGAAAAGTTAGTGTTGCGAAACTATCATCTGACAGATTATGACTGAACGCCTCTAAGTCAGAATCTATACTGGAAAAGCAGTGTTATCCACCGTTTTTAATGTTTTATAGAGTTCGTTAAGTATGTTATTTCATTTCATAACCATATGTTTTTTTAATACTTTAAGTTTCTTTTATAAATGTTTTAAAATTGTTTGTAATAGATTTAGTATAAATGCAGTTTAAATTATTAAAAACGATACATTGTTTGTAAACGACTTAATTATATCCAGGTATTGTAAGTACAAAAGTAGGCTTGTCTTACGATTTACTGAAATACTACCTGCGTTTTATTAATGTTTAATAATTATTTGATATTCGTAGTGCTAATGTTAGACTAAAATAAAATGCTTACAATAGATTACATATATACAAACATTATTGTTTCATACATAAATAATTACATTCGCGCATTCTTACAACAATTTATATATGCATACTTAAATTCATTTATACGTGTATTCATACAATCATACATTCATGTTTTAGTGCACAAATTCATGAACATATATTTTTTAAAAAAAAAAAAAATGTATACAC